CTCCTCCTCCTCCTCCTCCTCCTCCTCGTCGTCGTCCTCCTCCTCCTCCTCCTCCTCCTCCGTAGCAATTTTGGCTCAAGCCATTTTGGCTCAAGTTGCCATTTTGTAAAGGCAGCTGGCCAGGACAGCTTGTTTGGCCACTGGCGGGGCAGCCCAGCCAGGCTCCCCAGTGGCCGTGTTCTCGAGTTTGTGAGCTCCTGCTGGAGCAGTTCCAAGATTCCGTGTGTTCCGCCCATCGTGCCATGTCGTGGCGGTCCTGGCACCGCCAGGCGCCGTGGCGCAGCGAGGGGCGGCGCAAGCAGTATGGCGGCGAGTACGATGTGTGCAGCGCGTGCTCGCATTGGGAGTTCAAGTTCTACGGCAACAAGTGCTGCACGGTGTGCGGCGGTGCGTACTGCGTTCGGCCCTCTGCTGGCGCTGGGGTTCCTGGTGCTGGCGGTGGCCAACGCAATGTGGGGCAGCCTGGCGCCCCGCATGCAGATCAAGGTGAAGCTCTTCGTGCTGCTGCTGCTCTGCTGGTCGCAGCCCAACCTGAACTACGGAGTGGTCTGGCGGCATTCATCCAGGCTCCGCCACCCGCGGCAGTGCCGTGGACCACGTCCCAGCTGGCTAGTGCCGCGTCGGCGGAGCGTGCTCGGCTGGCCCGTGCGGCGGAGGACGCGGCCAAGGCCGTCAGGCTCGCCAATCAAGATCTTCAGCAGAAGAAGTCGAAGTTCACCAAGCTGGAGGACCAATTGTGTGAGGTCCGCGCTCTCGAACAATGCCGTGGAGTGGTTCGACCGGCTGAAGTTCGCAAGGTCGCGGCTGATGAGGAGGCGAGCCAGTTCAACGAGGACGCGTGGGCCGAGAAGAAGAAGATCGAGCAGAAAGCAGGCGGAGTTGGACGCTCGCGCTGCTCAGGAAGCTCAAGGTCGCGTGCATGCACCTGGTCCTGCACAGGGTACCCCAGCCGCAGCGGCGGGCGCCGCGGCGGCCCCCGCTTCCCCCGTCGGTGCTGGTGGACAGGGTGCTGCTCCTGATGGCCCTCTCGTTCCTGGTCTCACGCCCGCGGGGAAGGTCGACTTCGGCTGGGTCGAGCAGAATTTGCACACCCTCGAGGAGCACGATCTCGCCCGCTCTGAAGGGCGGTCGGCCATCAAGTTGGAGCAGTGGCGCAACATGCTCCAGTGGGCCAAGTCCCAGAAGGCGGACATCCCGATGGACATCGATGACGAGGTCAATGACGCGGGCACTGGGGTGTCTGGCGTGGGTGAGCTACGTGATTTGCGCAAACGAGCTGCAGAGCAGGGACTGGGACCTGAGGATTCCAGGAAATACGGTGAGCTGCTCCAGGCCGCTGCCAATGCCCGTGCGGGCAAGCGTGCTCGCAAGGCCGTCCAGCAGCGGATGGCCTCTGCGAATATTTTCGGTGCCTTGTGCAGTGCAGCGGCCTCCCAGCTCCAGTCTATTCACCCGAGCGCTGGAGGCGCCTCGGGATCTGCAGCCCAGCGTTAGCAAGACTGTGCCCGCCGAGCGGAGGCGGGCCAGGAAGAAGCGTGAGACGATCAAGGTGTGCTTTGCTAATGTTACCTCCTGGTCCGCCCTCGCGAAGCCCTACGTGTCGCAGTCTGCGTCCAGTGTGGGCGCCTTCCTCCTCGCTGAGCACCATGTTCGCCCTTCAGCTCTGGGCAATGCTAAGAAGGATGCGCGTGCTATGGGGTGGGCCCCACACTTTCAGGCCGCTCTGGACTCTCCTGGGGGAGGTACTCATGGTGGGGTGGCTTTCTTGGCGCAGAAAGGTTTAGCTTTTCAGGGGATCCTGACTCAGCGTTCTGGGATTATTCAGGTTGGCTGTGGGGACTGCTGGCTTTTCCTGGAGCTGAAGTTGGATGGGAACTCTCTGGCGATAGGTGCATGCTATTTGGTGGCCTCCATCGGCATGGCTGGGGAGAATCTGAATCGCATGCGTGATATGTGTCAGTTTATTCGGACCCTGGCGGCCCCTTGGATCCTCCTGGGCGATTTCAACAATGACCCGCAGGTGTTGGCTGATTCGGGGTGGTTTGAGTTGACTCGATCATGTCCCATGGTTCCCAAATACATGGATTTCACCTGTGACGTGGGCGAGGCGACGATCGATTTCCTGATCTGTTCCAGAGATGTTTACAGCGCTCTTGCTTTAAAGGCGGTTTTGACGGCGCCTGGCCGAGATCGACGCCGATGTCCCTAGCATGGGGGTCACCAGGCGTGTGAAGTACCGTGATCTTCCTCCTGCGTTAGGCCGTGATCATGTGTGGCTGTACTATTGCAACATGGCGCTTGAGGATGACGCTCAGGTGCTGATCCCTGATGATGTGTCTGGTGCGTTTCTCAGGCATACCTCGGAGGTCCTTTCCTCTGAGCTCTCTCGGGCTTACGCTCGGTGGCCCAGGTCTGCGGAGTACGTTTTCGCTTCCAGGGCCTGCGCTATTGTGGATCCTCAGAGAGCTCTTGGGAGGAGCTTGGGGCTGGTTACTTTCTCGGGGTCTCTGAGGCGGCGTGGTACTAAGCTGCAATGTTTCTCTTGTGAGTTTGTGTGCTTCTGGTCCCTGGTGCATTCGCGGCTTTGCGGCTACCTGAAATGCCTTCGTCGGGCCCCTGGGAGTAAGCATACCCTGGACTTGAAGAGTTTATTGAATCGGTTGTCCAACGATACCTATGCGTTTATCGAGCCCCTGGATGGCCCAGGGGATGCTACTTGGTGGCCTGGGGCGTTTGCTGGTGAGTTGGATGCCCCTGGCACGGTTCGTGTCATGGTCGACAAGGCCACGGATATTTGTTGTAAGGCATGGGCTAGGGCTCGCTCGGGCACCGAGGCTGGTATTCGTGAATGGAGTCGTGCCTGTCTCCCTGGTGGCGCCCCTAAGCTGCGCCGCTGGTTGAATGCAAATGATCGGGTCACAGTCCAGTTCTTCAAGGGCTTCAAAGGGGTTGTGCAGAATCCCAAAGATATGATGGAGCGCCGCGAGCACGTTTGGGGCCGTTGGTGGACCCCTGACAGCGTGCGACGCTCGTTGCTGGAGGACCCCCTTGGGGAGTTGAGGGCTTCTGCACAGCTTGCTGCCATGGAGGCCCCTGACCTTGAGGTTCGTGATCTCGTGCAAGCTTGCCATTGTTGTTCTGCTACGACGGCGATTGGAGTGGTTCAATGGTCTCCTCGCGCGTGGCTGTCTTTGCGGCCGCGCGCGCTGGATGGGGTCCTACAGATCTTCCATCGTGTCGGGCAGGAGCTGACGTTCCCGTCACAGTGCCTCTTAAATATCATGGCGACGTTACCTGAGAGTGAGTGCGATGAACGTGCAGTGTCTAAGTGTTCTACGTGCTATAGGGTGCATGCGCGGATGCGTGGTGGCATGATCGATGATTGGAACCGTCAGCACGTCGATTGTCGGGACTGTGCAGTCCGAAGCTCGTCGGCACTTCAGAGCGCCGTGTTGCGAGCGCTGTGCTTCGAGGTGGCTAACAATCAGTCATTTGAGTCTTTGGCAGTCCATTGGGACACGGAGAAGTTTTTCGACAGTGTGGTTGTATCCATGCTCGTGCAGCTGGCCTCGAGGCTAGAGTATCCCCCGATGTTGTTGTACCTGGGGGTCCTGGTCCATTCCTCGCCGCGTGTGTTGGAAGTTGAAGGTATGTTATCCAAGGTTACCCCCACGGGTAATTATATCCTTGCTGGTTGCACGCAGTCGATGCCATGGGTGAAAGCCTTGCCACATGATGTGTTGCATCGCGCGCACCATCGCCTCCCGCATGCTCCTGTGCAGTCGTACGTGGATGACATTACGCAGTTTGCGCTTGGCACGAATAAGTATGCTATGAGAATGGTCCTATCTGCCGTGCTCCAGTTTTTTCGTGACGTTACTGCATGCGGGTACAAGGTATCTGCGAAGAGTAGCGTGGTTGCTTCCTGTGCGTCCTTGCAGCGTGCCGCAGTTGAAGGGTTCAGGCGGATGGTGATCCTTGTTGGTGCCTCGGAGGCTGTGAAGGATCTTGGTGTTATGTCTACGGCTGGGAGGAGAAGGTGTGCTTGGAAGGTTCGTTTCATGAGAAGGACTGCTTTCAGGAGAGCTAGGAAGCTGCAGCACCTGGCTAAAGTGTGTGGGAGGTCTCGGAAGCTGTTCAAACCAGGTGTTTTGAGTGTTGGCGCTTGGAGCCATAGTGTCTTGGGGTTACATGTCTCTGAGGTCCAGTCTTTCCAAGCCTCGGCGGCTAAGTGTTCGGGCTTCTGGTCCCCTTGGATGTGTACCACAGCGGTCCTGGCCGTTCGTCATCAGTATGCCGACGACCCCCCGTATCGACTTCGAAGAGAGCAACTGGGAGCTCTGGCTGGCATCTGGAAGTCCTTGTCCCTGGGCCTTCGGACGGGCGTGTCTCGGACTTGGGACTCTGTGCGGGCTAAGTTGCTCTCGTTGGCGCCCAACCGTTGCTGGGCGACGGTGAAGGGTCCTATTGCTGCTGTCGTGGCTACGCTGTTGGACCTAGGTTGGGAGCCTATCTCCCCAACCAGATGGAGAACCCCCACGATGGTGCTTGATGCTAAGTGCTCTGATTTCCTGTATTTCCTGGATCTGAGTGTGAAGCATACGGTTTCCCAGAAAAACTGGACGGATGCAAGCAAGCACTATTGTGGGGTTGGAGTTGAGGAAGGTATTGATGGTACAGTTTTCAGGCGTATGTACAGGAAGCTCGTGTCCGACGGCTCCCATCAAGATGCAGCGCTACTGGCGTGCATT